AAAGTCATTCATATTGTAACTTGCTGATGAGTGCAATCATCTATTTGCGATCACGCAAAACCAGCTTGAAAAGTCTCTAGGGGTTACGCCCGAATCGAAAAAAAAATCTTACAATCTTACAAAAATCTTACAAAATTGCGCTCTCGTCGAATACGATTATAAACAATCAATTTCAACCCAAAATGTCAGTAAAAGACAAACGTTTTCCGACGCGGAGTTACTATATCAAAGACCAAGACAAAATAAGGCTCTGCACACATTATGAGACCCTTTAATTCTTAATTTTTATACTTTGAGTTATTTTGGGAACGGAACGGAATGGAAGCACGGTCGCATAGTCGACCTCGTCCTCAGGGCCATCTCCGCCGATTCCTTTTCATGGCCGTCGTAAGAAAGATGACCCTGATGGTGGCTGGAGATCAAATCAATTCCTTCAAGATTTTTATGGGTTTTGATAACGTGCCTTTCTATTCAATATGGAAAATGGCAATTGGGATAGCTGTTATGTCTCAATATTTGATTTATATATTTTGTTTTATATAATTTTATTTTATTTGAAAATTTCCTTTTCATCGGCTGTGACACCACTATGGGAGTAGATCCAGTTCATTCTGGAATTTTTCAGGGATTCCCTGATTCRCTTTTAAAACATTATAGGAGGAGCCGATGGGTTCTCGGGAGAAATATATCTTTTCTTATGTCCCAGCCAGCTGTAAGTCACAACCGCATTTGGTTGCCTGTGAGAAATTCATGAAAACTCCATGCAAGGAGCTATACTTTCCTAAGAATTTTTGCCAGGAAAATAAAAATTTCCTAACTAAAAAAATATAAGCCGTTTTTGCTTAAAAAAATGAAATTTTCAACAATGCAGCTCAAAAATCCCTTTCTCAGAAAAAAAGTCCGTACAAGAACAGTTTTTTAGAAGAACATATCCCGAATACTATCGCGTCTATCGCTAAATATATATATTAAGTTTTAACATATCTTATCATGAGTGGCTGGCTTCTCAAAAATCACGCAAAAGACAAATTAGAGAAGAGCTGACAAGAATTTCAACGAATAGTTTGCTTTTCAATTGACAAAACGTACATCAATAGTCGGGAATGTATTTGAAAACAAAAAAAACAACAAAAAAACATTGGACTCATCGTATTAAACGATACAKAGACACAACGGTTATCCGAGCATACTGACACTGTCGAGCACATCCCGACATATAGATGAACATGAGCCATGAATGAGCGATATGAGAAAAGGCATTTCAGTAGCCAATCAAAAAGCGGCTTAGTTCAGCCATCACCAGAATCATCTCCCAGACGACCACCGGCRGCAGARATGTCCCTGGGAAGGGAAGTCAAGCAGTGGTTTTGGTTCGTCCACTACAAACATACTACTTTTTCTCTTCTTCTAATTATACCTTGCTTGATTCTGAATTCTAGACAGCTCTCTCTCAACAAAATTCTTCAAAGTTTTTCTCGCACCGCGTCCATATGCGTCAAATCCGTCATTAAAAAGCACTAGCCGCGCAGGGAATGGCATTAAGATAATAAAAAAAAATAAAAATAGCACGAGTAGTCCATACTTCTGAAAACAATTTTTTCCTCTCAAAACAGTTTTTGTGGCTAGCTGCGTCCCAATAGTTAGTCTAGCCACTTTGCCATCGGTCGGCCCTAAAGGAAGAAAGTAAACTCAGACATGGCTGGCGTAATAAGCAAGAAGATATGGAATCAGGATCAATCAAAAATCCAAGAATCGGGATAAAAAATGATATTTGGTAGCCATTCCTTTTCTGAGCACAGATTTTCATGCAAGGAGCGGAGTTTACTTGTTATATATATATTATATATTATTCTTATTACAGCCTTTTGCAAAAATTATGAGAATTGCTGAAATATATAAATATCATAATATCAAGTGCATGGTCCCGCGCGATGCCCTTCGTCCCTTGTCTTTGTTGTTTAGTTTTTTTCTGGCGACGGACTTATCCGTAGTTCTGAACATTTTCTCGATGTCAACAATGAATTATTCTAGCAAACCCGCGTGTTCCGGACAATATATGGATATGGATATTATGATATTTAGATATTTAGACAATTCTCATAATTTTTGCAAAAGGCTGTATACATATATATTTTATCTATTGTACAGCCTTTTGCAAAAATTATGAGAATTGTTGAAATATATAAATATCATAATATCAAGTGCATGATCCCGCGCGATGCCCTTAGTCCCTTGTCTTTGTTGTTTAGTTTTTTTTGGCGACGGACTTATCCGTAGTTCTGAACATTTCTCGATGTTAACAATGAATTATTCTAGCAAACCCGCGTGTTCCGGACAATATATGGATATGGATATTATGAAATTTAGACAATTCTCATAATTTTTGCGAAAGGCTGTATATGTATTTAATCTATATTGTTTTACTTAGTGTAATGTAGAGTAGTATAGTTTTTACGGAGGAAGAGCCACCCTGTGGATTTCGTTATTATTATTATTATATTATATTATTATTATTATTATTATTATCCGAATTTTTCATTCAGCAATTTCATTCTATTGAAAGATTTGATTGGATGGGTAATAACTGCAAGAACTGAAATACCTATCAGCAAAGAAAAAAAAACAACTTTGCCCGTGCGCGTAGTTTTTCACCTTTTTTGGACATTATTACCCGCGACAATAACTGTTTTTGTCTACAAATACTGCAACAACGTAAAACAAAGGCGGTTTTATTGCAACAGTCAACGAGACTCACAACTAGTTCGAATACAAAAGAGATACCTATGAGTGCGATTGAGGGTCCATGTTACTTTTGAACAATTTTATGCAATGTTTCACATCACCAGTACACTTTCGTCATAAAATACGCACTAACCGCATGATTTTTTTTGGCAGTTATGTAATTATACATGATCTAACTAGCATTTACATCATTCCGCCCATTCCACCCATCCCTCCCATTCCTCCCATGCCTCCCATTCCAGCCATAGGGTCTTTTTCATCTTTAGGGGCGTCAACAATGACAGTTTCCGCTGTAGTTAGTAATGAAGCAACACCAGCAGCATCTGTGATAGCAGTGCGGACAACCTTTGTTGGGTCGATGATACCAGCTTGAATCATGTCAACGTAGTTATCATTTTGCGCATCGTAGCCCATGTTACCTTCCTGTTGTAACACCTTAAAATAATACAACTTGTCAGGAATACAGTATACATTTAACAAGATTTGCTTTGTACATTGCGTTTGTACTCTAATACAAAATTTATTTGCGTACTTACTAAATGACAGTTTCTTTGCTATCTAGGTTGATTACTAAAATGACTTAACCACACTTATGATTTAAAAAAACTTTTCAAACAACACAAATTTCTCTMTCCGACAGACTCAGATATTTTAAGAAATTATCCCTTTTGCCGTGTTAAAACGGCCACTATTTGGCTGTTTGAAGTTATCTTTGCTTTATTTGAACTCCCGAGGTATCGATCGTTGATTAGCATTGAGGAGACGTTGTTACTTAGGATTGTTATTATTGCTTTTTGACACTTGCGGTAACGCTACTAGACGTGGTATTTTACATACTTGTGGTAGATTTGGATTTGTCTCGCAGGCGCTCGCCTGTGCTTATACAAAACCGAAGTTAAATTTTAACGAAAAAAAAAAATCATAAATCGTTTACTTAGAATTCTATTTAAGTAATTACGTGGGCTTCATGGGGATGTCAAACTAAACCAAACCAATCTAAACCAATGTTTTCACTATTTTGGTCGGCCTCGTGGCCTGATCGCGATGGCTAGCTTCATTTTATAGCTACTGTGACCTGGTTTGTGACCAAGAAAAGCAATATGATCAAGAAAATGAAGGAAATAAACCCTAGAACGCTGATCTCACTTACAAATTTTACGGATTTTATCGTACACGCCGTTCGTGGTARGCCCACACTAAAAGATGTTCAGCGTAATTTTCGGAACGCGCCGGTCCACGAACTCAAAATTCTTACCATCAAAATGTTAYTCAAAGTTATAATACTGAGGAAACTGCAAAGACTGTACCGTTTCTACTGTTTACTATCTGTGGAGCTACTACGAACTATGGTGATATGACCTTTCAGGTAAAATGTATTTAAATCTCACAAAGTTTGCATAATTTGAATAATCTAGACGCTCTTAGAGCGTAAAGCCAGGCTAGCTATTTTGGAAAACTGAGAAGACAGGATATTTAAAGAAGTTACTTAGAGTTCAGTTCAGTAAAAAATTATGATGTAGTAAATAACTTATATTAATTAACTTAATTCTGTCTTGACTTATTTTAAACAAAGACTGTATCGTGAAAATGAAATACTTATAGCTCAATGGCGGCAACGGACCCATTGTCGCAGCTACAGGAAGCCCACGTAAGCGATCAATGATCGTCTAGTTATCATTTGATTCATCGTATTGTTCCGTATTCGTCTACACAATCAACCATCGAGTTGTGTTGCCATTGGCGGCTTGATCCCCTTCTCTTTTATTATAGTTTTCCGTGTTATATAGTATAGTCAACTGTCTTTGTAAATTTATTGTTAGGAACCTTGCTTGCTTTCAACAACTAGAAATAAAGCGTAATATCGTACTTGATCCGTTTAGTCGAATGATATGGCAACCTGATGTGTCGTAATTTCGTGTAATGATAAATCAGGAATATCGCCTTATTTTTCCGTAAAAGCTACTCGTGGTCATCGCCTTTCGTTCCTTTTCAGGCGGAACCAATTCTCATCCTCAGAAAATATCGGACGAAAATAGTTTGGAGACTTCATCTTACCTTTTCAACAACAAGAGGTGCCTCCACACCTGCATTTTCAGCAATAGTATGTAATGGTTTCCGTAGAGACTTTGCCACTAACTCGACACCAATTTGTTTGTCAGGGCTGCTGCCTTCCAGAGTTTCGAGGCTCTTTATACATCGGAGTAAAGCAACTCCACCACCTGGAACAATCCCTTCCTCTACAGCCGCACGTGTTGCATTGAGTGCATCATTGACTCGGTCTTTTTTTTCATTCACTTCCACCTCACTTGATCCACCAATCTGAASAAAGAATGGGATATTAATATCAAATTGTTTTTGGAAATAATTTGAAATATCATTTTGAGCTCTTTACATGGAATAGCTTATGGTAATTACCAGCTTGTGTATAATATGCAGCTCTTTTGAGCGTTTTAGCTAACTATGTGCTAAGTCTTGCCTAAGTGGTAAGTCATTTTAATTAGTTGAGAAATATGTAAGCAGTGATAGTGCACGTGCGTTTATGCACACATCTTCCTCGGAGCTCAGCTRCACTTTGGTAGCCGAAGTCTCATGCTATTATAAAGAGGTACGTATCTCACAAACKTTTTCGTAGAAGCGATAAACTCCTGTTGCAGTTTATTTTGAGCTTCAAGCAAAGGATGAATTTAAAAGGGCGCTGTTGGTTCTTGTCAAACGCCTCCGTTTTTGTGGTTACTCCCGTCCTTTAAAGTGCTACTTGCATGAAAATGGTCTCATTTCAAAACTTCAAGCAATACAAATATATGACTCACATATATCTATTAAAAACAATTGCGGGAAAATATTTGTTTTGGAATTGTCCCACATCAGAGAAATTTTGATTCAAAAGATGGAAGAACAAAAGGATGGAGTAAATGACGTCATCTACTCTTGTCAAGGAAAACTTGTCAAAGAAAAATTRMTCGTGTAAACGGGGCTTTACACAACAGATTCTTGTTAATTTGCATAAAGTTTAACTCCGGGTCTCGTTCAGATTGAATTTTTTTCCAAAAGTTTCTTTAAAAGCATAGGCCGCCCAACTATTGCTTTAGAGACAGAAAAGAACGATTGCGCACGCTTTTATTATGTATATATGTTATCGGCGCGCGCTCTTAGATAATGCGGACTACCCGTGTTATTACGTCACGATCCCGTGTCTCTCGGGTCTCCATTAGTCTGTGACAAGGTATGAAACACCGGTCACGTGACAAATCTTATTTTGCTCCTATTTCCCCAAAGATAACAATAAACGACAATTTTATCTACAAATAATGAATAGTTGATCGTGCAAAATCGTTCTTTTCTGTCTCTAAAGTAATAGTTGGGCGGCCTATGTTAAATGACCTGAGCAAGTTGACATCTACGTTTCATAAGTAATATACAATATTCGCATGCGATCTGTATCAGGTTTAAAACAGCTCGCTCTCAGCTCACTATAACGTTTGAGCTTCCGGTCATGTAATAACACAGCCAACCCAGTAGTTGATCATTAAATACTTCCGGTTTCAACGTCTCGAATTCTTAACTTCCGGTGGCCCAAACGCGACAAGATCCACAGATAGGCAAAAAAGTAAAACTTAAGTCGACCTAGCCTACGGCTAGCCGGATTAATTATTCGCCTATACACATATATAAAGAGATTCATAAAATGTCTAATGATACATCGGATTAAAGCAACTCCATCACCAGAAACGATCCCTCTAAAGCACGTCGTGCCGCATAGAGAACATCATCAACTATGGAGGGGGATTACTGACTTCAATGCAATTTGATCGTAACTCAATGCAATTTGATCGTAACTCAATGCAATTTGATCGTAACTCAATGCAATTTGATCGTAACTCAATGCAATTTGATCGTAACTCAATGCAATTTGATCGTAACTTCGGCCTCCCTTGACAATAGAGAGAAATGYATTTATCCCTTTGGTGTCAGCTTTTGGAATTATAGTCCGAATTCGCAATTTTTTCATGTCTGTTAAATTAGTCCTCATAAGACGCTTTTGCTTTTTCTTAGCAGAAACAAGTAGTTGCGCCGTTTCTACAAAAACATAAAAACGACTTTTAAGGATAGAGTGCAAGTCACATAAGCATGAAACAATTCTTAACTATGTAGTGCTAAATAAGATTTAGTTATCAACTAACTAAGAATTGAGAACAATGCTASAAAGGAATWTAAATAATTGGTATTGTGTTTATGCTTTATTGAATTCTTAKTTAGTTGATAACTAAATCTTATYTAGCAATACATATTAAGAATTGTTTCATGCTTATGTGATTTGCACTCTATTGTTAATGACTACAGCACCCATTATGCTATGCTGTACAAATTGGCGTCGCCACAATTTTCTCAGATGCACGACCGAAACGCATCACGTTATATCTTTATTCGGTTCGAGTGGGAATGTTCATTTATAGATAACTTATAAATGCCAAGTCACTGGTCAAATTTACTCGGCTTGATTAGTTCTTAAATTTGCTATAGAACGACTGTGGAACTTTCTCTAGCGAGAACAATTCAAAGTGTGACATTAGTATTTGTYATTTTGGTAATTAACTCTTATTAAGAGAAATAAAATTACTCTTACCTTGAGTATCGCTACCCCATCTGACATTTTCGCCAGCCTCTCATTCAATTTTTCTTTCTCATACTCTGAGTTTGTGTTTTCCAATTCTTCTTTAATTTGTTCACAACGTTTCTCCAAGTCTTCTGGGTTGCCTTTTCCTTTGAGGAATAACATATCATCCTTGGTGATAGACACCTCACCTACTTCGCCAAAGTCCTGAATTTGGATGTCTTCTAGCTTGGTTTCCAGAGCATCATCACCAAAAACCTGTAGAAAAAGGATCAGATGCTAAGTCAAGAAGAAGCTTAAAATGCCAGGTGATTCAGAGTAATTTCAGTAAAACAAAACATASGTCACTAACTGCGAAATTAGGTTAGCTCTAGAGGCCAAGAGAAAGCCTTTCGAATAATTCCAAAGAGTCTCTGATCATCCATCAAAGACTGACACTGATCTGTATGGACCTTTAATGCTTTTCTTAACAAAGAATTATGGCAATCTGTGATAGGTCCACGTTGGTATTTTGCAGGTAAAATGTCGTAAAATATGGAGTGGTCATTATATTGGGTGAACCCATACATAGATAGTAACAAATGTTGAAATGTTGGCTTCATACATGTAGATCAGTTGGAAGAGCACTGCAGAAGTTATGGGTTCGATTCCCGTTGAAGCCCGCAATTTTTTTGCGTGATATATTTATTAATAATCACTTAGATTACATTTCAACGATCACATTTCCTTACACATTTATTCACCGCAGTTCAAACAAGCATTTCAACATTTMAGTTAATGTGTAGCTGAACTACAATTGTAGTTATCATCTTTTGCAATTCTTGTTGACACATAATGTAGAGCGGATTTCGTATGAGTGGGAAACGGACGGTACTGTACTGTGTCCGTAATCGTACTGTAACCAAATTCTAGTGCCCCATTGTTTCACCAAAATTCTGCAGGCCAGGTGCGGTAACTGTGCGGTAACCGTGCGGTAACGGTGTCCCACTCATACGAAATCCGCTCTATATCGGCATTAACTTACCATTCCACCAGTTGCAACGGCCATATCTTGAAGCATGTTTTTCCTGTTGTCACCAAATCCTGGAGCCTTTACAGCAGCAACTTGAAGACCCACCTTGAGTCTGTACATTGAATTTAAAAGCTAAAAATTAATGACGGCATTTTGTAGATTTTCCAAAATAGGCTTGTAAGTTATTAGTAGAGTGGTTCTCATTAACCCGTGAAACAAAGTGTAATAGTCAAAGTGTAATAAAGTGTAATAGCCAAGAAATATAATAGAAAACAAAAGAGACAAAGTGTAATAAATTGTAATACGCTAAAGTGTATTTCACGGGTTAATGAGAACCACTCTACTAGCTTAGCAATAATGTCTCTTGGCTAAAATCACCACATGAGCATGTTAGCTAGTTTAGTTTTTGCACATTACAAAATACCACTTCTTAACCGAGACTGAAGTATTACAAGGAGATTTCAAACYGTAGCTCGGGCCTTCCCAACCCCTCCAGGTCTGCTACGCAGGCTATCAAACTGAGGCCTTGAGAGTTAAAGAAAAAGTCAGCATGAATTCAATACCCAAGTCATTGTCTCATTATCCAAATAATTCAAAGATAGCGAAATACTTACTTCTGCATAACATAAAGATAATATTATTAAATAAAGATTATTTTAATTTTTTTTTATTGAAACTTATAGTTTAATTTATTGTCAGATTTAAAATCAAAAGCATGAAAAATAAAGGTATTTTTGAACAAACAGCGAAACCAATGCTGATAAGAAGATGCTAACAAGACAGCCAGCAACKTGACTTATGAATGGCTTACATGGTTCCTCCTCAGCAGGTTCGTGCATATGCACTGTTCAATGCCATAAGATCATAATGTATTGTACCAATACCTGTTTAATACAAGAGTTGTTAGGGCTTCACCATCAACATCTTCAGCAATAATGACAAGTGGCTTACGGTGGCTATTTGCTAATTCTAAAGCTGGTACTATTTGCTGAATGGATGAGATTTTCTTTTGGCAAAGAAGCAGAAGACAGTCTTGATATTCAACTTTTTGCCCTGCAATACCAAATAAAATTTCCATTGTTGTGGCTGTAATATACCCGTGAATCAAAGTGCATCGATCAATATCAGAAAATTTGGAGCTCTGTTTTTTTATTTTCTCTGAAGTCAGTACACCAAATAAAATTTTTCCCATCTCCACTCCCTAAAATTTGCTTTTTTATCTCTGTTAAGTACAGATTTAAGGCCGGCGCAAACGCTTTCAACATGTTATTTCGAATTTTTTTTTACGTTAACGGTTTTGCACTGGGCTATCAACATGTTTCAACATTGTTGAAACTTGTTGAATAAATGTCGAAGCTGTTTGTCGAGTCATCTATCGAATACCACAGGAGAAATGCGTCATATGAAAGAAGGCTACAGTTACAGGTCAAAATAAATAAATCAGTGTTCCTGCTTGTTCCTGTGTGTTTTATAGAACGAAGTATAGCCTCTGACTTGTAGCTGGCTACATGATCACACCAGCTACAGGTCGAAATAAATAAATCGGTCTTGCTACGTACATATATCTGACCTGTAGTCAGGTGGAGGATTTGAGTGGCRGGGTATTCGATAGTTGTACCTTTCGCTATGTACTGGTACATGCATTTGAACTAATGTTGTGTTAGTCTGAATTTATGCTAAACATTATTAATTATAAAAATCGCATTTAACATATAACACAAATTYTTCAAATGGCATTAATTGTTGAGATCTTTACCTTTTGAGGTGTTGATAAAATATGGTGATATATACCCTCGATCAAATTTCATTCCCTCAATGACTTCCATCTCATCGTGAAGAGTCTTACCATCCTGTCAGAAATATCAAAATTAAAAAACACTGTGTTGTTGCACTTGTGTTGATTCTAAAATGCAGGATGTCAAAATGTCCAGTAATAACACTCCTAGATTGCTTGTGCAATCCTTGAGTTAATTAAAAGAGCTGACTAACGGCTTATCTTACCTTAACAGTGATGACTCCATTGCGTCCCACTCTTTTCATGGCTGATGAAATAAGTTCTCCAATTTTGTGGTCACCATTGGCTGAGATTGTAGCAACCTTGAAAATAAAATAAAATACAGTCAGTTCTTCTGAATGCAAATATAAACACCCTCCCCAAGAAACTTTGTCATCCATCTTTTTTTGGCATAGGTTTGCATATTTTTTATTAATTCATTTTTACTTCATTTTATTTATTTATCTTTTTTCACTGAAGCTCTGTTGGACTCTCCTGTCATGTTTAAAACCCAACTTAATGTCCCCTTAGGAAGGAAACAATCAACTAACATTGTTGAGCTTTGCAAAAACATAGTCAGGGTCATAAAGGCCAAAGTAAGGAGACAACTGAACATCAAGGAATTCAGCGATGCATGGTCTACATGTGCTGCACACCACTATCATGGCTCAAAATAACGGCCGCTCAAAGGACAATGTCGTTCCAAATTCGCTAGTTGACCGGCCAAATTAGGTTTTCAAAGGACAAATTGACCTGCCACATTTTTAGACAATATCAATTCTCAATTCGCTACATAAATCTTTTACAAACCATTAAAATGTTTGCCGATCTTTCTGAATACAAAACCCTATAAATTAAAAGAAAATGATAATAGTATAATAAAGTTTTTGTCCTTTCAAAACTTGACTTGACCTTCAAAAATGAATTTGGAAGGACATCTTGTCCTGCATAYRTCTGGCCGTTATTTCAATCCCTGGCTATAGAAATAATGGTGCTTTTGGGTGGAAATAAAGAAATCAACCCCTATCACAGCTTTTGTTTGTTTAATCATCAATGAAACTTTAATTAATTATAAATTATTAGTACATGTAGGACATACAACAGTGGTTTTCATAAACCCATGAAACAAAGTGTAATAATTAAAGTGTGACAGATCGTAATAGTCGCGTAGAGACAATAAAAAACAAAAGAGCCAAAGTGTAATAGTGATAAATACGCTAAAGTGTGTTTCACAGGTTAATAAAAACCACTCTACAATACCTGAGCAATTTCTTCTGGAGTTGTTACAGGTTTGGACATTGATTTCAATGACTGAACAATAGTATCGACAGCTTCCATAACACCTGATGAAGAAATGAGTAAATAACTAAAAAAAATTAAAAAGTGTTTGGCTAGTTTATAAACAAGCAGCCATTGGTCTTAAATTTCAAGCAAATCCTCACTCTACCTAATGTTTAAACTTATATTTTTTACCATCTATATTTTCATTACCTCGTCTAACCTCTTGTGGGTTAGCACCCTTCGAGACTTTATTAAATCCTTCTGTGGCAATAGACCTGGCCAAAACGGTAGCAGTAGTAGTGCCATCACCAGCCTCTTCATTAGTGTTATTTGCAACATCTTGTACTAAACGAGCACCTACATTCTGGAATTTGTCTTTAAGTTCTACAGCTTTGGCTACAGTCACACCATCTTTAGTTATTTTTGGCCCTCCAAAACTTTGTTCTATGATAACATTTCTACCCTATAAAAATGCAAATCACAACTCTTTCTAAACTAATACAAACTCAAGCTAGAATTACAAGTTTATTAAGTTGACTGAGTTTTGGAATCTTYCCAAAATGCCCTTTTAGCAATGTAATAAAAACGTCATTTTATTAATTATGTTAGAGTTTGGTGAGCCAAGAGTGTGCCATGAAATAATTTAACTTATTTCATACTTGATTCAGTTTTCTTTGTTATTCATAGTGTTGTATCTAGCTTATTCCACAGCTCATTGTGTATTCAAGTGCTTTATATCGAAGTTTCAGGACAATATCTAGATATTGCCCTTGAATACTAATGTATATTGCCCTTGAATACCTAATTAGCTACTATGTTCAACTTAGAAAGAAAGAAAAATTCAAATGACACTAARTAGATTCAAACCCACAACCTTAGCTTTGAAAATCCTATACTTGACACGTTATGCTAACTGACTAATCGATGTCAGTTATGGAATAAAACAGTTATTTAACATTGTCCAGTTACTTGTTACAAAAGGTATATTGTTAGCATTGSTCTCATGGGACTAACGAGAAAAATGGTTATGCAAATTACTCCTGTTGGGAATTGTCAATACTGTAAATTTCGTAACCTTTCTAATCAAGATTTTGGTTTTTAATTCATATGAAAATGTCTTCTTTGCCTATTTAAAAATGAAAATATTAATGCAGTGCTTGGAAAACTTCTTCAAGTATGAAATAAGCCTATGGCCCCTCGTGCTTTATATGGCTTATTGCCTCCGTTCTCGGTATTTATCTCTTACTTAGAATCTCAATTTTTACCACATGTAGTACTCTGAAATCCTAGGAATTCTGCTGCAGATTACGTTTAAATATAACATTTTAACAAAGTCCTTGCACATCTAGGGGGATTTTGGCATGGTGAATTGAGCTTATGTATTCAAGCGCTGGCCTGCTTTGAACACTCAAWTTTTTTCAAAGTAAACGTCACAACTCCCATGACATACCTTAGGACCCAATGTGACAGCCACAGCATCAGCTAAAATTTCAACACCTTGTAGCATAACAGCTCTTGCATCAGATCCAAACTTGAGTTCTTTGGGTGAATGTCTTTGATGTGATGTGCTAAARCTTGCAACAACCCGAGGCGCAAGAACCTTGCTGGATAGAATTTGGCGTGCTGGATGAATTATGCTGGACATTCGATACATTGTTTAAACTAATAAATAAGAAAAACAACATTTTTTAAAATCCTGCATAGATTAATGGGAAAACTTCAAACATAGAATTTTCTGGCTTTGGATCTATTATGGAGATCCAACTAGGACCTCAAAGTGCAAAACTGTCATTTTACATTTTAATCAAAACAAAACATGATGACATTTACGACTGTCTTAATGGCTGACACTAATTAGCATATCATTAAATTAATGTTGACAAAGGAAAATACTCATATTATATAAGCTTGAATGTRAAAAAAAGTTCGATCTGAGTCTTGTTATTATAAAATGCTCACTTGCAAGAAATTGCTCACATAAATGTTGTAAAAAATTCACCAAAATCTTCAATAGTCAGTACAAAATCTGCTAGGTGCTGTTTTTATCTGTTGCTCAAATAAGGTGATGATTATGTGAAAATTGCCATGCGCTCTGGCAAGCTACAATGTGGAAAAAAGAAAAAGAAAAGTTGCAGCATTTTAAGACCGTGCACGTCCTTAGGCCTGGGCACGGCACATTATGGACATCCCAAGAAAATATTGGAGTGGAGCTTATGACTACCGCTATTTAATTGATGCSAACTGCTGCACAAGAGAAAGAATTTCACAAGAAAAGAAGTTCATATCAAATTATTTTGAAATACTACACTAAATACTTCTAAAGAGGTTTTATTCTGAACGTTATGCACATGCAATGAGCTTAGCACATGATGTAAGATATTACATCAAGCTATTATTTCGAAATCTATACTATTAGAATAAAAATTACTATACCTTATAGACTTTTACTTCGTTTGTAAATATATAGGGACAATCTTGGAAGAATTTTTCGGAGAATAGCGACAAAATTTGTTTCTGTCTGCAAGCACGTGGACACACGTTAGCGAAGGTAGTTGAAYGATTTTAGAAAGGATTGTCAAACGCTCTTAGAACACAGTTCCTGATTGGCTAAATTAGATTGACAATAATTTAAGACACGACAAAGATGCGCATGCTCCAATAATAAAGATATGAACCAAGGGGGGAGGATGAAGTAGTTCTTATAGTAATGAAATGCTCCGGCAAAATCTTGAAAAACCACAAATTGAAACGTCTTTAGAACAGATTGAAATGATAAAAATTATTAGAATTGCTGGTGCAAATGAGACTCTGGTTAATATAGTGATAATAGGAAGCCCAGCATTGTATTTTCCTCCCTCCTACCCCTCTCCTCATTATAAATTTTGTATACCGGCATCCACAGTGCCCTGGCCTTGCGAAAGAATCCACGTGCAAATCGCTCTCATATCACCTCGGCGTGTTGAATTGCTGTCGAGAATTACTCATACTAGTAAGATGGTAAGTTTTAGAAAACAWGCTCGTACTAAACTTTAAATCATTCGTAACGATCAACTTATAAGCTTAAATCATACCGATTGGATAGATTTATCCTGAAAATTTTGAGGCTTTAAATTTTCCATTATTTTTCTTTGGAGTGACWTTAAGACATAACTTAAGTACATTTTCCTGTGTAAAATAACATAATGACGAGAGACTGCCGCATGGATAAAACTTAGCTTGCATAGTAACTTTTCGAACTCCTTGATTAAGTAGGTAGTTAGCCATTGTACCATGTGCAGGCCCAGAAAGATCGCTGAAAGGGGGGGGGGGTGAATAGGTTTTCGGATCGGCGGATCTGGGCCTAAGACACGCGGATTACGGATTTAAAGAAAAAATAGAGCGGATTRCCGGATTCTTAAAACGTACCGGATCACGGATTTATTGAAAATTTAACGTCGGATTTCGGATTCTATAATGGCGATAATCGTGACTGCGAATTTTGCCGATTGTTGACTACAAAAAAATAACATAAGAAGTCTCTAAGAAGGCCTTATAAACGGGCGAAACGAGACTACATGCTCTGCGCTGTGTGAAAAAGTCTTTTCTGAGCTTATTATGGCAAATATGGCATCAGCAGCTCTTGAATTAGCAAGAATTTATGATTTTCTTATTATCGATTGCTATCATGATTTGGGATTCGGATTAAAGAATCCTAACCAACCATGATACAGCGTGCGCTTTTGTTATTGTTTACATACGTTTAAATGCATGCGACAATCATACAAAAGATTATATATTGATAGTACCTGTGAGATACTTAGTTTTAAAAGAGGTATTTCTATCCAAACTGAAAGGATAGAAGACGATTTGCGCTCACTTTAAGAAATCTCGACGAATCCGCCATTTTCGTGTCCACCTAAAATTGCGCTTCGGCTCGCAAGATACGGCGGTTGGTTGTGATTCTTTAAAGCAAAACTTTGCGCAGATTGGCGGATTTTAGAAAAAAATGAGCGGATCGCCGGTTTCGGAGACCCCTATTCACCCCCCCCTGAAAAGTACTTTGAATGTTTTGAAAAGTATTCAAATATCCTTGGACTTTGTTGTCTTCATTGTAGCCTTCATAGGAGACAAGTATAGAAAACATATGGCATAACAATGGCAAAGTCTAGATCTCGATTGATGAACTATAGATCGATTTCATCCACGTGATCACTTTTTGGCTGGCCGCCATATTGGTGGACATATCATATTTCTAAACACATATAAATGTATGCAAGGTTACGCCACATTTGATAGTTTAGTCAGTTTTTCGTGGATTTTAGCATAAATTCGACGGATTCAAAGAAATCAATACCATTCCACTCCCTGAATATGGAAAAAAGTTTAGATTCATCTGCAACAACACAATATTTGAAGAACGTTTAAACCATAGGTTTGACCCCATGATACTGAAGAGGAAAAGCTAATATTGTTTGTCAAAGTATGAGCGAAATGTTTTTTGCATGATTTTCGTTCGTGGAAACATATCTGATAGAGATATCACAAAGACAATGGCGATCAATCGCTGATTTCAATTCAATGGCKCCATTGGAGTGAATTCGCCTCCCTGGCTGTCTTAAGCTTAAGTTTTGACTTTTAAAAAGAGCAATCAGCTTGAAATTTTCCTGGTAAGGCCGAATGACTCAACAATAAAAATAAAAATAAAAAAAACTTTCAATGAATAGTACGGGTTAACCGTTACCCACAATTCATTGCGAGTSAAGTTCAAAGAAACACTTGACTCATGAAGTGTACCCTAAGAAAGAGCTGTTTCTCTCCTTGCTCAATGCACCTGGGTACAAAAGACAGATCAGTGCAAAATAGAAGAGTCAAACTTTCCTACAAAGGTTGAATTTTGGTATGAATGAAGTATTTTGTGCAGTAAAATTGGAAAGGAATTAAGGCTTTTTTGTTGTTCTCGTCTTACGTGTAAAAGTGTTTAACTCCGATTTCGCCCTCATGAAAGTGACTATATTCTCTGCAAACAACGCCTAGGATGCTTAATTTAGGAGTAAGCAGCCGTATAATTTAGTAGAAAACACAGTCAAAACATCGTTAGTATCATGGCTATTGAACTGACGAAATGCTATTTTTTTAACGAGAGACCTATGTAAGTCATACAAATATGTACAATTGCCGGTAAAAGGGTTAAAGATATCATTTACCTATAGTATGACATATTCAGATTACATTATATGCAAGCAATTAGTAATTTACCTGCTACAGTAAACATCTGCATACTWCATTGTATAAGAACAAGTGGATTAAGAACACCCAGGCCTGATTTTAGGAAATAAAGTACCATTTATATGAGCACATTCAGCCTGAAAAATGAAAGTTGTTCTTATATGGAAAAATATCAAATATCAACAAGGAAGTTTGCTGCTGACATTTTGCTCTCTTAGTTGACTATAAAGGATAGAGGACCAGTCAAAAGTTCCATTTTGAATTTGTATGGTTTTGTTTGGGTTTTAATAGTCTGTTCTGGAGTGCAGGCTGTACTCCACAATATAGAGTTGCATGAATACAGTACAGTATTGCCGTAAAAATTTACATCATTGTATTAATTMATTAAAACTGTGTGCATACAGATGTATATTCATTTTATCTCTTGGTAGCTTAGTATGATCCTTATTTTAAGAAACCTTTTTTAAGAACAACTAGACACATAGCTGCGTGAACTTGGGGTTCTGCTTGACGATTAAGTGACAACAGTTTGAGTGTTGTAGTCGAAGAATTGGACTGTATTGAACCTTAATAAAGTTAATATTAATACTATCAAAAGGGTAAAGCAAAAAATACTTTGTGAATTGAAAATAATAAAAAAGCGGTGTACTCAACGTTAATATTATGAAAAAATTGATCATCAGCAAGCCRGTCTCACTTTGATAGTCATATGGCAGGGTGTAAACACAGAGTCTTCTATCTTTTACACTTCATAAAATACTTCCATTCGTCGGTTTTTCCTCAGAAGAACTCTKTTYGCATTCCTTAGATGAGTCCTTTGTAGTTTCAGAGCCWGCATACTAGTAAGTTCATATATAGTTTGCTTGTGCTATGATAGTTCGCTTGTTTGATTGACAATTCTCGATAGGTCTCGATAGACTCGATCGATAGACTAGAAAGATAAATTTCACAGAATATAAAGTTTCTCGATAAATTCGCAGTATCACTAATGAAATTCTTTTTTCGAAAAAACGCTCGGCATATTTTAGYCTAGCTATACCACGAAAGTGTGGATTATAGATATAAGTGATTTGAGCGTATTTGTAGAAGTTGAATTTGTGTCTTCTTCCATCATGCGTTACGGTCTCGCCGACAATAGCTGAGCTTGGGCTACCTGTGGACAATTTGTGACTGATAAGCGACGACGAYGACAAAGAAGGCTGAAATTATAACTCGGAGTTCCTTTGGTRCCCCAAGTAATTAAGAACACCTACAGGCTGATTTTGMAGATTATAACCCTTTATATAAGAAGCAAATCAGCCTGAACGGCCAAAATAGGTGTYCTTATACGTGGGTTTTTACTGTATTTAACATACATTGTGTATGCCCTGCAAGAACAAGAACTCAGTTTTTTTAGAACATTTAATACTTCATTTTAATGAAAATGTTCATTTTAATGAAAATGTTAGGATCCAATTATAAAAATAATTGAAGATACAATCTGGGCAAGTTTTAAGAATTGTTTTGGATTGAACTTTTTTTCAAAAAAGATCTCATTTTGAATTCAGCAAAACAAGTGAACTCAACAATAATGTCAATGTTAATACATTGGTTTGGTTTTCTCCAAAACTAGCCTGCATAGCAGCTCTAGGGGAGGGGGAAAACAGAAGGGGGAGGGGTGGAGAGAGGAGAGGAAAAACAAGAGCTGMTAGCACAGCCCACTAAATTGTGTGCTCAYGGCTGGCAGAGGATGCATCCTGATTGGTTTAAATCTGTGCCGTCATTAACGTTTTTAATTCGCTGTCAAAATAACTATATTCAGGCTAATGCAAGAACACTGGAAGCCAAAATAGCACAGAAAGCTAGTTTATTTTAAAGCCTTCACGAGAATGAAAGGACAGTGATCTTGTGATCATCTAACAAGTCTTGTGTGATGCTGTTGGATAGGCTGTATAGATTGGGATTTTGATTTCTGTCATGCTATAAAGAGTAGAGGTTTTAAATAGTATCTGTAAGCTACAACCGAACCAAAAACTGTTTTTGATTTTCATCTTTTCTYAAGTGAACTCATTGTAGTTTCGTCATAGATCATTGCTGAATGACTGTTGCTTGAAGGCACTTTGATTTACCYGTACCTGACTGATCTTGCAAATTTTATATATGTTGTTTGGTTTTCTGATAGCAGATTTTTTGTGTATTTAAATTGTCATAAACAAGACAATAATAATGCTCTAAAACTAAAAAAAGCTTGRAAAGAACTCCAGATTTGTTTTAAAAGAAAGGTGACAAAAACACAATGGAAATTGAAAAGTGACAAACCATTTCCTGTAAGCTCTTATTGGCTTAGTAAGTTAATACGTTAATTTGAATTTAAACTAGTGGTTACACGATTTAGTGGCCCGTGCTCGCAGGCTCTTGTTTCTTCCACTCCTCCCCGCCCCCACCCCTCTCCCCATCTGTTTCCCCCATCCCCTAGAGTTCCTATGCAGTCTGTGTCTATGTACTTTTTAAACAAAGATGTTTGTTATAAAAAAATGCTATTGTGCAGTTTTCTGAAATTGTTCTAAGTTTGACAACAAAATTTTTTCATAATTGTATAAATATATATTATGCAGTTGAACCACTTCAAATCCTATTATAAAACTTATTAATAATGCATGACCTATTACTCCTATAAGGGCTGTCCATTTAATCAGGTGATTGAMCTTGTAAATCTGATACAACACTAGTGTTGTATAAGATTTACAACATGGTCRTCACCATTGAGACAACCCAACACTAGCAAAGGTCTCAGTTTTAGTATCGCATCATAGACCTTCACTAGGTTTTGAAGCAGTCAAATACAGAYAATAGAACTCCCTTCTGCAACAGATGGCTTGCTTTCCATGTGGGATGAATAATTATTCAAAATGTTCTGTGTTGCAGTAAATTGCGCATGCTTAACTACTTAACTCAGCAATTACCTTATTTGTCATTTATCTCACTGTAATTCATGCTAATTGGTGCTGGAGTTTCATAAGTCGTTTACAACATTCGTGTCCGTGTTGTATGGGAATTACAATCTCGAGCTGCATACAACACGGCCGCTCATGTTGTAAACTATACTTATACTWTTAGCATCTTCTAAAAATTGTGGTTGAATAATCATGTACAAAAGAACTAAAGGCAAKGCTCTTCCAAAATAAAAGAATTATATTTTGTCTCCCTATAGCATCTTCAATTGTTTTGTATGATTTTTTGTGTTCGTATTGTGACCATTTAGAGGTCTTGAAATGGGTTCTCTTAATTTTTAAATTCATTGAATTTAAAATTTCTCATTTCTTACAGGCTGGTGCACTTAGAAGAACATTCAAGCCTTTGTTTGATAGAATACTTATAGAGAAATTTCTTCCAGAAGTAGTAAGTGATTAAGATAAAATTGTGGATGTTTAATTTAAWWTTTCAAAATGCCAAATCGGTTATTTCTTGACAAATAACTTTGGCTGCTTTCAAGCAATTCATTTCATTTTTTCTAAACAATTCATTTACCTATACTTATAATGTATTCTGATTGCATTTATGTAAGTAATTAGTGATTAATATATATGCAATCCTTTCACAAAAACTCAATTAAAAGGAATGGACCATTTTATTTTGATAAAAATTGTATRAGACATATATAAATTTATATATAGGAAGTACTCTTTTTTGCCATTTACTGCAAGACTAAGTTGATACACAGGAGATATTACCTAAATAAGACATCTTTTGCTAACAAATAATTGTGTGCATTTTCTTTACTAATTTCATTATAACAGTGTTTAAATGAMTTTTTTCTTATGACTGCTTGTGGCACCTTTAGAAGCCACTAATAAAAAGATAGTGTAATAACTCAATTTGCATTTGTTTATTAAAGAAAACAAAAGGAGGTGTTCTTCTGCCAGAGAAAAGTCAAGCCAAAGTTTTAGAGGGTACTGTWATAGCTGTTGGCCCAGGATTAACAGATAAGGTATAACAAAGGAACTGATGTCAATTTTGACAATGTTGGCATTGGTTGTTTCTCCAGAGCTGTTTGATTCTGGGCAATATAAGCCTTGGGGGGAGAGGGGGGTACTAGACCCTGTTTTGGATAGGTGCATGCCGCCAGCGGTCTAAAACCCTGACCCTGTTGACACTAGGAAGTGAAAATCTATACCCTGACAAATTGGAAAAGTACGGAATCGCTATCTATGCCGCAACTGTCAAAATTTCAATTATACTGACATCCATCAAAGACAATAAGAAGTTTTTGATAACACGTTAACCCTGGTACAGTGAAACAGTATTTCTACTATTTCTACGGTATTTGTTATGAAAATATTACCCTGTCTAAGACACACACAAAAATTATATCTGTTTAAGACAATTTCGGGTGAAAGGTATACCCTCTTTAAGACAGCAAGGCCAAAAACCGCAGGGTTCCCAACATAAAGTTGAAAATTAAGTTACTAAACAAGTAAACCTACAACTCCAATTCTTTTCAACACATATTGACAGCTTCTGTCAGCATTCATACAWCTCAGTAAATGATAGAAAACACAGTAATATTCCTCAATATCTTCTTTGTAAGATATTTTGGAGCTTAATACTTTCGTAACTAATTTGTTTTTACCTACTTTGTTTAATTTAAAGCGTTTTTWAAAAATAAAACTTTTAGCAAAATWGCATTAGGGGTTACCKTAACCAGATTTTCAGGGGTTTTTCATGTAAATGCCTTTTTCATTGCTTGTTTTTATGAGTATTTCATGAAAAATACTCCTGGAAAAAAACATAAAACGTTTAGTACATGCTCCATAAGAACTTCAGCAAGTTAGTTTTGCTCTTTCCAGGTGTAGATAATACATTTTCTKTTGAAACAGTGCTAAATTACACCCCCTTACAAATCCTGTGGTTTCATGACAACATGAAAAGTTTGTTTCATTTAGTGATGAAAATGAACTTTCTGGTATTTTTGGTTCCCATGAAGGACCCAATGCTTGATCGCCAATGAAGTGATTAGCCTTGTTAGTGTGCAGTGTAAACCAATGTGATTTTCTCTCTATTATAGGACGGTAGACATGTGCCTGTAAGTGTTAGTGTTGGTGATAAAGTACTGTTACCAGAATTTGGAGGAACAAAAATTCAGCTTGATGACAAGGTATCATTTACTAGTTATCAGTTTCATATACAATACARCATGTAAGTGCAGTATAAATGACTGCTCGTCTTCCAAGAAATATACAGTGCATGCTCAATACATAAGTAGAGCGCTACACATTCATACCTACAAGCTGTTCCATGCCTTCACTACCSTGCAGATGATAATATTGTACATGAATATGGACTGTGTTTGYCCAAAGTTAAATCCATCACAATTGTTATTTTCTGTAGAGAGCTGCTATTCAGTATATTGCGTAATTCCTATGGYTCCTTTGAGGGGTTAAATTTAWTCACCACCATCTTTTTTGAGTTCTTTATGAGTAATTGGGATGTTAGGGAATGGATGAATGCAGGATGGAAATGAACAGAAAATGTATAGGTGGACGAATGGATTGATGCTAACTCGGAAAACAAATTTATAAAGATATGATTATTGGAAAACATAAATTGTTGATTAATATGATTTAATACTAATTGCTGATTTTTTTGTAACAGGAATTACACATTTACAGAGATAACGACATTCTTGGAAAGTTTGAAGACTAATTTACGTTTTAYAATTTCATTTCACACTGAGTATTAATAAATTCTAGTAGGTTTTTTTGCATGTACTTGTGTTCCTATGTGAAGTCCTTGTAATGATGTCATACTGTATACAGTAAAAACCTGCATAATACAGGTATATAATAAAGAACACCCATTTTCAGGTGATTGAGTTCTCATCTGAAAGGGATTTTCTGCAAAATCATATTGGAAGTGTTCATTTTTCAAGCCTAMTTAGTGCGGTCTTAATAACATATGGTAGTTATTTTGCCAAATTTCCGCTTGGGTCTTGTTGTTCACTCTTTAWATGCATATTTTTACTGTAACATGGTTTTAAGTATTAATTGGTAAAAGAGCAAAACAATCTGTTAAATAAAGGCCAAAATATATAACTAGTCTACCAAGAAGTATATATTTTAGTATATATTAGTGATGTCTTTACAGTACGCTAGTGATCACGTGCGTTATTTACTTACGGATCGGGGGGGGGAGAGGTGCATCTTGTAAAGTGTCCAAACCTAGAGTGATCGCACTTAGAGTGAACGCACTTAATCCGTACAACTGTACAAACTAAATAGTGCTTTTAGTTACACTACTTCGGGGCATACTTAGATGTTACGCAACTAGTTACTCTCGAGGCAAACGGGTTGCTTGCGTATCGACCGTCTCTTGCCTGTGCGACCGTCCATTAAGCATCTAAAGCATTTTATGACCTCCATTCTTGTCTCGGGATGGGAATAGCATGTGAAGTGCCGAGAGGGGGGGAAGGGGGGTGCTCGTCTGATCTCTTAGGGGTAAAAATTAAAAATTCGTGTGCCAATTTGGAGTTTCTGGAAATTCGCATTTTCTGCAATCCGTTAGGGTGTCGGAAAAGAAGAGAAAGGACGCATCGATATTGATTTTCCTCTGCGTTTTTAACATTTGAACTGATTTATTTCAACAATACTTKTTTGGTTTACAAATCAGTCAGCAACAACATTTTTCAAGACATTCGGGATCTCATAGGTGTCTTTTTGAAAATTTCTGCCGAGCATCCCCGGTACTTTTACCCCGCATCACCCCGGACAGAAGTATCAGGCAGCTCGCTAATTTGCGCTTGTGCAGTTGGGTCCTGTACATTATTAAGGTCCCGCTGTGCTTTATGAATGCACTGCACGACGACATGCAAACATATTGTCAAGAATCCAAGGGGGTCATAGTCTATGACTTGAAAGAGGGGGGCAACGTCCAAGTAACTCATATCAAATACCCCGCCACTCAAACCCTCTACCTGTAGCCGTCTTAACACAGGAAGACTGATTTATTTACTTCGATCTGTAGCCGGCTACAAGTCATAGTCTATATTTCGTTCTATAAAACACACAGTAAGTCCATCGTCTTTTCGACCTGTAGCCGTGTAGCCGGAATGGTAGTTACTCCTTTTACATGTAATTAATGGGATGGGGGACCATCTAACTTTGATTTGAAACTGATCGGAAAAATTATATAACTTTTATAACTTTGTCTGTTCGTGGGTACTAAGGCATAAAAATCTTCCAGAATCACCAAAACTCGCTAAAAGTCGATTTAAATTTTTAGTGATATGTATTAGTGCATATTAGTGTTAATTCGCTGAAATGATATTAGATAGCCACAGCGTCTCAAAGTTACTACTACTCCAGGACCGGGACCCATAATTCAATCAAAATCGCTTAATATTTTGAGCGGTTTTGTGCATTTTCTTTAAATGGTCGCTCGGAAATAAAACGAGTTTGGGGCCCTGTACTATAAAGAGTCTAAATAACATATATGTCTTACTGTAAAATATTTACCAAAACTTTCAAATTTGTACTTAAAACCTCGCCTATCATTCACATAAATATGTTTGGTCCAAGATACCCAGACCGGGCGATAACGTTAAGCCCTTGTGGAGTCAATGGAGTAATGTAAAAGAACTCACGCTGCTATTCGACTAAGAACTACTATGGCAAGTTCCCGATAGTGCCAGTGTTATTTTTTGGGCATCCTGAATGCCCCTCTTGTCATTAGCGAAAACTAGCTAAGGAGAGTTTGTTCTAAGTTGAAAGCTTCTCTCTTTAGCTTTCAGT